TATTAGAAAGTACTTCACTATCCTGATTCTCCTTTTAATTACCGTACTGAAGTCTTCAGATTCCTCTCAGTCGTGACTTCACTGAAGTCTGGAATGAGAAGAGACTCTTCGATCTATATTTCTCCTCACAAAAAGCTAACCCATTATCTCCCAAAAGACATTATGAGGAAAAATGTGTAGTTTAAATATCAAAATTATGAGGTATGAAGTTAGATCAAATTTGGCTTTACATGAATGAGTTCGGGAGTTATGAGTCATGGGAGCCGAGAGACGCACTCACACACTCATACTTGTGAGTGTGTGAGTGTCTCATTTGTACGTCTGTGAGTTTTCACGGTTCCTGTCTAGGGCCATGATTTAGGTCCTGTTTAGTGCCATAATTAAGTTTCAGTCAATTGCCATACCTCTCAAATCTTATCTCTTATTTTACATACTAAAAATCCAACCCAATAGTTTCTATGTCAATAGTTTTCCTCTCATCACGAAAATATTTACACTAAACATTGTCTCTTTTACCGATATCTCTGAATATTTTATATGCCACGATCATGTTTCAACCTTTTTAATTTGTTTCACTGTCGTAAAATTGTGTTCCCACTAATTCCATAATTCTGGGAATCGCCTTTTAGCAAACCACAATACCTTCTCAATATTTTTTATTTAATTTTTAGAAGTAGGGATACCAGGCCAGTGTTGCATACTCCAATTTATGTTTCATATATTGTTTTAAAACTTATCTTCGGGTTATTGAAAGCTGATCTGATGTTCGTCAGTTTAGCATATGATGATGAGGGAATTTTAATGAGTAATGAATCCCTGTTTGATCCGAGATACCGTTGTCACACTGATACCGTTTGTTCCTCACTCTCATTATCTATTGTTCCTCAGGCCACTGAGCGCCTGTCTCATCCCCTGTCTCATAACCTGAGCCTCACCTCACCTCATTCAAATAGCGTCCACACACGTGAAGCATGCGTGAAGATGTTCTTTCAGTGTATGTTTTCTGTGTGTGTGTGTGTGTGTGTGTGTGTGTGTGTGTGTGTGTGTGTGTGTGTGTGTGTGTGTGTGTGTGTGTGTGTGTGTGTGTGTGTGTGTGTGTGTGTGTGTGTGTGTGTGTGTGTGTGTGTGCGTGTGCATACATGCATGCGTGAATGCGTGTGTGAGTGCGTGTGTAATATATGTAGTACATATGCTACAGGAAAAAAAATAGTTCAGGAATCAGTACAATAGATAACCAACGGTTAAAAAGGCGGAGTCCAGGAGCTAACAGCTCGATCCTGCAAGCGCAAATAGCAAACACGAATAGTATATACACACGCAAATACGGACACTGTGACTTGACGCTACAAGGACATCGCGATTTGACTCTCCGTGGACACTTGGAATCAATTTCAAGAGATGTGAGTCTTGCATTGCAGTCTAAGTAAAGTTAATAGTTATTTGGACTGACCAGAAGCCATAGACGCGCCCGGGGATACATATAATTTGCATATGCGTGTGAGTCCGCCCTTAAATACTCATTTTCCAATTGAGAAAATTACAAATCTTTCAAAATAATCGTAAAAAAGTTGTAATATGTAAAAATTCCTGATATTAGTAACAATAATTACAAATCCGTGAAGAAAATGTGGCAAGTTATGAGTTTTGAAACAATTGATGAGGTTACTGAATTAGTTTTTTGATTTTTATAAATTCTAATACAGAATAAATTTGAGAACCTTTCCTCAGAATTAATTTAGATATTTTTCAGTAGCGCGGCTCGGCCCCCACAGCAGTAAAGTAGTTGAAATATACACAGCCAATGAATTAGAGCATCAGTCAGCGTTAATAGCGACTGATAATTTACGTTTTAAGCAAGCACCGGTTTGATAATGATGAAAGCAATTTTAATTCAACATTCTCTGAGGCTTCTGGACTGTTATTGTGCGTTTGCTGAATTAGAACATCCTTCAGCGGAATTTTTTGAAGCTATCAACCGCAACAGCGGAATAATAATAATATTTCATTGAAGGTAATTATCACTTTTTTTGCCTTGAATGAAATATAATTATTACGCCAGTATGGTTGGTGGCTTTGAAAATTTGGTGAATGGATATTTCACTCAAATAATTCTAGAAATCAATACCCTACTGCCGAGCGGACAGCACACTGGACTTGTGATCCTGTGGTCCTGGGTTCGATCCCAGGCGCCGGCGAGAAACAATGGGCAGAGTTTCTTTCACCCTATGCCCCTGTTACCTAGCAGTAAAATAGGTACCTGGGTGTTAGTCAGCTGTCACGGGCTGCTTCCTGGGGGTGGAGGCCTGGTCGAGGACCGGGCCGCGGGGACACTAAAAAAAGCCCCAAAATCATCTCAAGATAACTCAAGATAACCTCAAGAAGATACCAGGTCGGGACTCGAGAGTCTCGATAGGAACATCCTAGGAAGACTTGAAGATAAGACTCATCTCCTATGACTCATTATTTAAGACTCATAAAAAGAATTTCTTCCCCGGGAATCGAACCCAGGACCAGTCGGATGCGACTGCTAAGAAGCTGACTGCGGGTTCCGGTACCTGAGGTGCTCTAAAGCTGCCCAAACGAGGAGGATCGGAAGACATAGTGGTATTAAAGGAAATAGCTGTATATGGTGGGTCTTATATGGGTCTTGGTGGGCCTGTATATGGTGGGTCTTATATGGGTCTTGGTGGGCCTGTATATGGTGGGTCTTATATGGGTCTTGGTGGGTCTGTATATGGTGGGTCTTATATGGGTCTTGGTGGGCCTGTATATGGTGGGTCTTATATGGGTCTTGGTGGGTCTGTATATGGGGGGTCTTATATGGGTCTTGGTGGGCCTGTATATGGTGGGTCTTATATGGGTCTTGGTGGGCCTGTATATGGTGGGTCTTATATGGGTCTTGGTGGGTCTGTATATGGTGGGTCTTATATGGGTCTTGGTGGGCCTGTATATGGTGGGTCTTATATGGGTCTTGGTGGGTCTGTATATGGTGGGTCTTATATGGGTCTTGGTGGGTCTGTATATGGTGGGTCTTATATGGGTCTTGGTGGGCCTGTATATGGTGGGTCTTATATGGGTCTTGGTGGGTCTGTATATGGTGGGTCTAGAAGCTTATAGTCTTATAGGCCAGCCTTGACGAGAGTTTGTAAATGTAAATTCTACCATCCAGCACCTTCAGTACCTAACACTGGCGATTGTCCACACCAGTCGCCCACACCAGTCGCCCACACCAGTCGCCCACACCTGTCGCCCACACCAGTCGCCCACACCAGTCGCCCACACCAGTCGCCCACACCAGTCGCCCACACCAGTCAACAGTGACACATAATACATGACCCACTGGACTAATCGACTCCATTACCCGAAACAGTGATTCATTTAATCCACGTACACTCACCGCTGGGATCCATGCCTCCCGGGTGTCAAGCCGTGACACATGTCACATCGGATGCCCATGTGTCAAGCCGTGACACATGTCACATCAGGTACAAAAGGTCATCCGAGGCAAAAGGGACAAATTAATTAATTACCTTCCGAAGTGGTATAAATCACGTATGTGACAAACATTGTCAGAACAATGATGGCAGTGTGTGTGTGTATTCACCTAGTTGTATTCACCTATTTGTATTCACCTAGTTATATTCACCTAGTTGTATTCACCTATTTGTGCTTGCGGGAGTTGAGCTCTGCTCTTTCGGCCCGCCTCTCAACTGTCAATCAACTGTTTACTAACTAATTTTTTTCCCCACACCACGCACACACACACCCCAGGAAGCAGCCCGTGACAGCCGACTAACTCCCAGGTACCTATTTATTGCTAGGTAACAGGAGCATCAGGGTGAAAGAAACTCTGCCTATTGTTTCTCGCCGGTGATGGGAATCGAACCCGGGCCCACAGGATCACTCGTCCAGCGTGCTGTCCAGTCAGCCACCGGCCCCTGAATGTGTGTGTGTGTGTGTGTGTGTGTGTGTGTGTGTGTGTGTGTGTGTGTGTGTGTGTAAACAAGCTAGGCTGTTTGGTAGCACGAATAGCCATTCCCTTAATTAGTGGCAAATCGTCAAGGAGCTCTAGCAATTAGAGATTTAAATGAATTCACCAGAAAGGCTGAAGCTAATCACCAGAAAAGGCTGAATCTAATCACCAGAAAGGCTGAACCTAATCACCAGAAAAGGCTGAATCTAATCACCAGAAAGGCTGAACCTAATCACCAGAAAGGCTGAACCTAATCACCAGAAAGGCTGAACCTAATCACCAGAAAGGCTGAACCTAATCACCAGAAAGGCTGAACCTAATCACCAGAAAGGCTGAACCTAATCACCAGAAAGGCTAAACTAATCCATCTAACCCATAGAGCAAATAGATATTCGTCAAAAGGAAAGCAAATAGGGTTTTATTAGACTTTCCTAAATAACATGACGTTAATTTACAGACTTTATATAATTATTAGACTTTTATTTACATTCTTGAGGCGTTAACTCCATGGCTTTCATTTGCATATATGAGCGAATAATTATATGACTTCATTTACATAATTAACTTATTCTATGAAACATCACAAAAATGAATTCAACTCATCAACATGTAGGCAAAATATAGATTTTTTTAAACCTGTCTTACAAGTAAACACTTAGAAGTGAATGAACACTTACAAGTGAATGAACACTTACAAGTGAATGAACACTTACAAGTAAACACTTACAAGCAAAAAAACAAATAAACACTTAAAATGAACGCCAACAACAACTAGAAAAACAAATACACATCATTCATCGACTTTTACCTCATTTATGTTAAAAATATACATATGTAACAGCGTAGAGACATGTTACATATGTAACATGGAATGTAGAGAGAAAAGTGAGAAAAAAAAAGACAGATCGAGAAAGAAAATGTGAGTGAAAGCTAAAGACGAAAATGAAAGCGTGAGTTAAAGAAAAAATTAAAGATAAAGAAACAACTAACAAATCCCACTAACTTTGCTGCAAAAAATTTTTTACTTGTCGATTTCTATTGGAAAAACAAAATCTGTGTCCATGGAAACTAACTTTTGGAAAAGACCGAAGGAAATATTTGCAATATTTCACTTCAATTGGCATACCGACGCGTCGAGACTGACACACACACACACACACACACACACACACACACACACACACACACACACACACATACACACACACACACACACACACACACACACACACACACACGCACACACACACACCACACATACACACACACACACACACACACACACACACACACACACACACACACACACACACGCACATACACACACACACATACACACACACACACACACCCACACACACACACACACACACACACACACACACACACACACACACACACACACAGGGACAAAAGAGCCAGAACTCAAACCCCCCCCCCCCCGCAAGCACAAGTAGGTGAGTACACACACACACACACACACACACACACACACACACACACACACACACACACACACACACGCACACACACACACACACATACACACACACACACACACGCACACACACATACACACACACATACACACACACACACACACACACACACACACACACACCACACACACACACACACACACACACTCACACACACACACACACACACACACGCACATACACACACACACATACACACACACACACACACACACACACACACACACACACACACACACACACACACACACACACACACACACACGCACACACAGGGACAAAAGAGCCAGAACTCAACCCCCCCCCCCCCCCGCAAGCACAAGTAGGTGAGTACACACACACACACACACACACACACGCCACTTAAAATACAACTTTCCTACCTTAATTGCCCGTTTTTCCCCTCCTTCCCCCCCCTGGCAAACAGTCATTGCAGCATAACGACAGCCTACGAGGCAAATTAAAAGTTCTCTAATTGCTTCCTCTGGTTCATTAAGTCAGTCAATCAAGCTGCGTGACAAGAACAATCCAATTTTCCGCCTAGATCAGTCCCAGCCGAGACCCCTAGGGCTGATAGTTGACCTGTAACACTGTAACTTGTCGCCCATAACCTCTAATCTAATGTGACGTAACTTGTCTCGATTGCGCGGGTTCTGGATTGTTTCAAGCGTAGGCTAGACATATTTATGTGAGAATAAATAGGCGCTGCCTCATTTGGACTGACAGACCTTGTCCAGTTTCTTCAGTTCTTTACGTAATCGGTTCATTCATCTTCACTCCCCATTTTACTGATTATCTTGGTTTCATGTGACCTAAATCCACGTGTAATTGATCACAGATATTTGGAAAAACAGTTTGATCAAACTTAATAATCAAAAATAATAATAAAAATAAATTCGCTAATCCCTTGCATAAATGAGATTGCAGCATCCAATTTACAAGTGATGCTGAGATGGTCGGCGAACCTTTGATGTCCAGATGGACCTTCATTTAATTTAGAGAAAGAGAGGGAGAGAGAGAGAGAGAGAGAGAGAGAGAGAGAGAGAGAGAGAGAGAGAGAGAGAGAGAGAGAGAGAGAGAGAGAGAGAGAGAGAGAGAGAGAGAAAGTTGCCGTAAGTTGTGACTGATTAAACTCTCACACCTGTTCTATACTGATCAACAAATCGCATAATGAGTGAAAAAAAGATCCTACGAAAGCAGAACTTAGAGATAACAATAGAGGTGTTGATGCAGGTATTTTTATTTAGGCCTCAGTCATAACTTTATTCAAATGGGTTGTATACAATTTGCATATGTGCATAATTAATTCTTTAAAAGGAGAGTTATTGTAGTAAAAAATGTGTGTGTGTGTGTTTGCAAATTTAGCATTAAGCGTTTGCTAACTTACAGCATTATTTTGATAATGATAGCCAGTAATGATAGCCAGTAGTATGAGTCATTTCCAGGATGATAACTACTTAATTTGAATGTCATCTTGTATTATACTGAATAATTAGCCGTACTTCGTACTAAAATATATACAATGTAATTGGTTGGACTATCATAGTAGACCAGTGAAGATATATTTTTGGTTAATAGGAGCGTGACCTCTAATTCATAATTAATTACTATTTAATAATATTAAATTGATTACCAAATTTCTAGAATATTGCGGGGAATGAAATTGCGTAAGTCGTAAGTTTCATTTACATAAATTATACAGTTAGTATATTGTATTATTTTTGAAGTTAAGTCTTTTGACCGTTCAGTCAGCCGTTCAACAGACTAATTATGTTCGGCTGAGCAAGGCGATTTTTAATTTTGTTCGACCTGTACTCACCTATTTGTGCTTGAGGAGGGAGTTGAGCTTCAGCTCTTTGGTCCAGCCTCTCAAATGGCAATGAACTAGAGCATAGGTTTCTGTATTCACCGGTGTTTCATACTTACCTCTAGCAAATTTCTATGTATTATCTGAATATGTTTCTACGTTATCCACTAAGAAATATAGTGGGAGAGGTCAGATGTAGCTGGTTCGAGGACATGGATATTGTAGTGGATAACCATCTAATGTGGTTAATGTCTCTATGGTAACTATTAAGAGGGATGTTGACCAGACCACACACTAGAAGGTGAAGGGACAACGACGTTTCGGTCCGTCCTGGACCATTCTCCAAGACGGACACAATCGACTTGAGAATGGTCCAGGACGGACCGAAACGTCGTCGTCCCTTCACCTTCTAGTGTGTGGTCTGGTTAACATACTTCAGCCACGTTATTGTGACTCCTCGCCTGCATATAAATAGGGTTGGCATTAGAAACTGGTCCCCCATGCTAGCAATAACTGTTAAGACTGTGACCAAAGTCGAGAAGTGTTTAAACTCGTCAAATTGTAACCACTTTAGGTTACAATTCCTAATGTTGTATGTTAATATGAGACATAGCTTTTCAATTAGTTCCCTCTAGTTTATATTTACACTTGTAAGAATTATTAATGTATTTATTGCTAATTCGTGAACTAAAGTTCTGAACCTGTTTATTTCAGGTAAGCCTGCCTGTTGCTGATAGCAATTACTTGACTATTTAGTTAGCCTTCCCTAGTAGTTCCTGTATTATTGGACTTGGGGTATCTCACTGGCAGGCATTAAAGCATACTGCAATCATATACT